TTGGCTCCAAAATTTTCGATAAAAAGTGAAGAATTCAGCTTATCTCCTTCAAAAAATTAGCAATATTTATTACTTCTATATTGAAAAACTCTATATAATAACAAATAATATGTATAAAATAGACAGTGCCAGCAAATTTAATAACTAGATGAGTGTTCAGAAGAATATCTTATGTATCATGTTGTTAAGAATATATAAATATATGATATTGTCATTAGATAGATCACATAGAAATTCCAAAATTCTTATACTTTCAGATAAAGATATAGATTTAATTGAAAGAGTAAAGCAAAGTGAAAAGAGATATATAGGCATCCTTGAGTCACCTGTATATAATTTTTAGCTTTTAGTATGTTATAGTACATTTTATTTTAGTTTTAAATTTCTTGTCAAGACTCTCACACTTAATAGTAGATTGTTATTTTGTATAATTAGAAGTTTTCATCTAGTTAGCAGGTTTTCTTCTTTTTAACGATAGTTTCTTCTAGATTTTAGTTTAGTTTTTTTTATATTCTTTAGTATTAGTATCTGTTTTCTTTGATGTATTAGTTTTTATTATATACCCCTTTTTTTCGTTTACTATTATCTTTTTTTTTCTTTTTTTCTTCTCACAAGAAAGCATCATCAGTTTGGTAACATTCTATTGTAGAACAGGAATCTTAACAGATGACACAACAGCTAGCCGAAGAATCTGAAAGAATTAAGTTCAGAGTAAGTTCTGAATCTTTGAAAGAGACTAATCATTTACTAGGCAGATCGCATCTAGACAAAACACAGCAGTTTAATGATTCGCTTTGACTGCAAATAGATGTTATAGTATCTGCGAGGTACGCTATGAGTAAGTTTATCTTTTAGTTAGAAATACTTATAGATTTAGATTTCTTTATATACTAATTTAAGATTGAAAGTCTGTTTCCATAATAAATAAACAAGATTGCTAAAGGAAAAAAATGGTGTAGTGACTTAGTAAAGTGGTTGGGTTGTTATCTCCAAGTGGCACATTTAGAGTTCAATTTCTACTAATAGCAAAAATTAAATTTTTTCAAATAATAATAACTCTTTTGTATGTTGAGAAAAAAATTTGTTATATTTAATCATATCTTATTAGAAAAAATGCCTATTATACTATTAGACTGATTTAAAGAAGATTTTAGATATTTGTGTAATATACAAGTTGCATAAAACAAATACAAAACTAGTAATATAACATAGACCTATAATAAGTTTTTGGAATCATATTAATCTGATAAATAATACTAAGAAAGCAAGACTCGAGTAGAGATACAATACAAGCTTTCAATGATAGCTACTAGAATAAACTTTATTTAAGGCTAATAAACTGAATGAAGCAAGAGTACTAACAAGTTACTTCATCAATCAGACCACTAAGTTAACTAGAAAAAAGAACTGATATTATTTTCGAACTATCTAAATTGATAGTTTGGAGAAACTGATTAAGAATACTGAAAAAGAAGATATTAGATTGTTTTGAAGGAAGAGTACTAGTATTTAGGTGAACTTCGCAAGGACTAGGAGGTTAGATGGTATAGTCTGCCTATAAAGGCTTAGAACCTATTTGATAAACTTATTTGCAAAAGGAATTAGCAGTATAATCTGTTTATAAAGATATAAAACCTATTTGGCAATACTTATCTGAAAAAGACTAGATAATATAGTAATAGCAGTGATATACGTTTTGACTGTCCAAAGGCTTTTTTGATACTGTCCAACGTCCAAGTGTCCAAGTATCCACAAGTATCCAGAGCATATCTAAGCTTTAATAATTAATAAATTTGTTTAATAAATATATAATTATATATTTTTTTAGGTGATGAACATATTTTACTTAGAAAATAATATAGGTTATCTTAATAAAATTTTGAGTAATTTTAATTTATTTAATTGTTTAAAATTGTCCAAAGTGTCCAAATTTACTGTCCACAACTGTCCTGTGACAACACTGGTAATAGTAAATACTAGACTATTTTAGCAAATAATGTACTCAAAGATGAATTAGTTAACTATATCAGTAGTCTTATAAGTGGACGTACTGATCTTAGAACTTGAACTAACTAATATATTGTATATTCTAGATGAAATTAGATAGATTGACATAGGAAATTTGAATTAAAAATTTAAATGAAAGATATATAAACAGATCTTAGGTATAGTATATGATAGATAATTTCAGCTAATAATAAATATAGTAAAGTTCTTAAATAAACAATAACTAAAATTATATATGTGACTAAATATACTCTCATTAAAATATACTTGTCTGAAGCCTTTATGATAAAGATATCACATAATTTTACAATCTAATAAAAGCAATAAACTAAAAAGACTACCATATATTGCTGAAAATAAGCTATACCAAAAATAAACTACTTTTCTTTTTTAGACAAGAAAAGTAAAAAAAATCTTTTACCCGAAAGAATCTACCCCTATAAATAATAAGTGTTACTACATAATAAAGTCAAAATTTTACTAAGTAAATCAACCTGCTTTATTAAGTAAAAGTTATTCAAAAAATCAAAATGCATATATTTTGAAAATTTTATATAAATCAGAAAACATTTTATTAATTGACTTTTGCATATTATATTTAATGAAAATTTAAAAATTTTTTTAAAATTTATATTCGTTGAGTGTAAAAATCAAGTCAATTAATAAAATGTTCTCTGATTTATATGAAAATTTTAGAATATATATATTTTTATCTCCTGAACAATTTTTATTTAATAAGATATATCGATTTACTTAGTAAAATTTTTCATAAATAATGAAAAACTGCTTTTACCCAATAATAAGCTACCTGTAATATTTTTATATAATTTTTTCAAAAAAAAAAGATAGCTTATTTTTGGCAATATATGGTAATCTTAAAAAAAATAATAATAATTAAAAAAAATATATAAACTTTGATATTTCTTTTTTCTGCTAAACAAATTTAAATAAACTTAATTAGATCTAGATATTTCTTTAGTTATAAAATTTTTTCTTATAATTAAAGGCTTATATTGTAAATAAAATAATCTTTTTTGAAACTTGAATTAGAGAGTAATCTAAATAATAGGTGGGTTATAGATATGGTATCTAGTGTAGAACCTAGTAATAAACAGATTACTTAAATTAGACATTCAAAAAATGCAGTTATAGCTAAAATATATCTTTGTCAAAATATATTTGTCTGTGCCTCTTTAAAAAGAGCATCATATAATTCTACAATCTAATAAAAGCAACAAGCCAAAGAAGCTAACCTTGATTATAAAAAAAAAATAATCTTTTTTTAAACTATATACTTTTTATAAATTGTCTTTAATAAAGTTATATTCTGTCTTCATACTACTATATTATTTAATAGATCTCTGTAGCTATATATTATATTACTTATACTATATTAAAAAGGTTATAGTTTATTTGTAACAATATAATAATTTTAATAATAAACTATTAATAAAATTGTTAAAAACAAAAAAATATAATTTTAAAAATTTTAATAAAGTATAATTAATTTCTTTTATAGTTATCTCTTCTATAATTAGAAAATTAATATAATTACAAATTTATTTATACTAATTATTTATAACTATAAAGAAAATATTTCTATACAGTATTAGTTATATTTCTTTTAATTACAGTTTTTTATATTTTTAAAGATATAACTATAAAAAAGTTTGACTATATAATGTTAGTATAATATTTAAAAAATTTTTATATACTATATTATATTATATATTTATATTAGTAGAATTGTTTATACTATAAGTTGGTAATATAATTAGATCTAACTAAATCTTAAATGCTAATATTAAAATATAAATTTAAAATATAGTAGAGTATATATAATTTTTAAATTTTTAAATTGCTTTAATTGAAAAAATAAACAATATATAACAGTAGTTTTATAATAAAAATAAATAACCAGTAAAACAAACTTAACCTATAGTTTTAAAACCAAAAATTAATTAGATCGATTATATATAATTAACATTTGAATACTATGTCTAAATTAATAATACAAAACAAAAATTAATATTTAAAGTTTTTAGTGTTTCAATACCTATGTTACACTACCACTACTACTAACTATGTAATAAGATGTAACAAACAATAATGTATACGGTGATACTTAGTCACCAACAATCCATAAATAGATATTCATCACTCCGGACTAATGATCCAATGTGACCGATACTCCGGACTGAGTAACGGCGGCATACTTGTTTCAGTAAATCCAGAAAATCCAGGATTATAAATTCTATGACGAAATTTAGACCGTTGTGGAACAGGTCGGTTGGCTTCAAGGAAAGAAAATATTTCTAGTCAACCTACTTAATTTTTTATTACTGTGCTGAGGTAAAAAAAAAAAAATAAAATTTTCATCCTTTCAGCCCTCCGTGGTTTATTTGATTAAGCACAGGTACGTGTCTTTATCATCAGTAGCAATTCACGAATGCATGTTTCGTTCGGTACTACTACTAAATTCATAAGCCGGTGAATTTTTTAACATCAGAATACCAAAGATAATATCATGGAGTGGACACCAACACAGGAAGGGCTTTCACAGCTGTTACAGCTGCTTAAAGATTCAGTCTCCTCAAATAACGAAATTCACACCATGATACAACAAGTATCCTTTTATTCGAAGCTTTTTTTTCTTATTTTAAATAAATTGGCGTAGTTTTATTCAAGTGGCAGTTCAAACGCGCTTGTATGATTCATCGAGATCTTCATATTAGAATTTTTTTTCATGGCGAATTGTTATATGTTCAAAGATCTGTGAATCGTTCCATCCAATTTTGCATTGCTTATTTATTTCACTGCGTAGTTGGCATTACTAATATCTTCAGTCCAAATTTATTCTATCATGCCCAGATATATTAACAAAGTTATTTGGTTGTCCTTAACGAATTTTACCTTTTTATTATTATTAGAAACTCGACTCATTTAATAAAATACCCGATTATCCAAATTACCTTGTCTACATTCTTACTCAGATGCCACAAGAGGAGGCATCAACTCGTGCAATCGCAGGTTTACTTTTAAAAAATATTATCCGTGTGCATTTTTCGTCAATTCTAAGTGAGGTGCTCGGATATGTAAAGACATTATCGATTAAGGGGTTAGGCGATCCTGATGTTATGGTCCGAGGTATTATCGGAAATGTAATCACCACAATCGTGACGAGAGGAGGTTTAGCAGATTGGCCGCAAGTCTTGCCAAGTTTGATGGGATTATTAGAATCCCCAGATTATAATGTTGTAGAAGTTAGTATTTTTTTATTTTTATTTTATTTTTTAGTTGTTTTTATTACTATATGTATATACATATATTAAGCTTTAATTGTTTTGAACCTTGCATGCTAATAATTGGTTGTTGATTTAGGGTGCATTTGGTGCATTGCAAAAAATTTGCGAGGATTCGGCACGAGAACTGGATCAAGAGATTGAGGGAGAACGACCTCTTAATTACATGATTCCCAAAATAATTGAATTCTTTGATTCCCCACATGTAAAAATTCGTGTATACGCAGTATCATGCATAAACCAGTTTATTCTCATGCGATCGAATTCTCTTTTCATTCATATTGATGCATTTGTGGCGGCTCTCTTCAAAAGGGCCGGTGACGAAAATCCAGAGGTCCGTAAAAATGTTTGTCAAGCTCTGGTAATGCTGCTTGAGGTACGCCCCGATAAGCTTATGCCTGAAATCAATAATGTTGTGGAATATATGCTTTATTCCACTCAAGACCAAGACGAACAAGTTGCGCTTGAAGCATGCGAATTTTGGTTAGCATTTGCAGAGCAAGAAGAACTTCGAGAGCATTTACGCCCATTTCTCCCGAGAATTGTTCCCGTATTGTTAAAAGGCATGGTGTATAGTGATATGGATATTTTGACTCTTGGAGGGGATGAAGATGATACCGACGTTCCTGATAGTGAAACAGATATTAAACCTCGTTTTCATCGGGCAAAAACACACACATTTGAACGCACAGAAACAAATGGCGGCGAAGCCTCCGTACCTGCGAGTCGTGAAGAAGAAGAGGAAGACGATGATGATGATGATGACATTGATGATGATGATATTTATTCTGAGTGGAATCTTCGAAAATGTTCAGCAGCTGCGTTGGATGTACTTGCTACCGTTTTCGGTAATGTATTACTGGAAATTTTATTGCCATTCTTGAGAGAGCAACTGTTTCATCAAGAATGGAAGCATCGAGAATGTGGAATCTTAGCTCTTGGAGCTGTATCTGAAGGTAAGATTAGGAGTGTGTAAACTATTATTTTGTTTCGTTATCTATTGATATGTAATTTCTGTTTATCCGCTTTATTATGCTAATAAAATAAAAAGGATGCATGGATGGAGTGGAACCTCACCTACAAAATTTGGTCCCCTACCTTATCCAAACTCTTAATGATCCCAAGGTGTCTTTGTGTTCCAACCCTTGAATGAGTCTCTTGTATAAAACTATATTACACAACCAAATTTTAATAGTTTGCTTCATTTGCTGTTTAGCCTCTAGTCCGTTCAATTACATGTTGGACCTTGGGCCGTTATTCTCGATGGTGCGTAAATCCTTCCAATACACCGCAAGATAGATCAAAATACTTCGAACCTTTGTTGGTCGGGGTGAGTTATTTCTCATATCTTACCATCGTGCATTAAAATTAAAAAATATTAGATCATATAACATTGGGTTTT